TTTACATTGCCTTCCACCTCCATCCCATTGCTTCAGTTTCTGGACCTGGCAGACACCTGAAGATTCAGAAGTGGTGTCTGACTCACTGAATGGTATCTTAGAAGAACCACATTCGCCAAACAATAAAAGAATCAACATCCCTTACGCCTTGGTTTCTGAACAGACAAGGACATTAGACCCAAGGTGCTGTGGCCCTGATTATGCTGAATGAGAGTGTCTCTGCTGGTAACCTCTCTGTTGGAGAAAAGAAGACTTCCTCATGGTTGAGGAGGAGTGGGTTAGAGACCATGGAGTCAAACTTGACATCCAGAAGTCCATGGGCCCTGATGGGATGCAACGCACCCATGAGTGTTGAGGGAACTGGTGTATGTCATTGTTAGACCACTCTCGATCATCTTAGAAAGGTCATGGCAATCAGGTGAGGTACCTGAGGTATGGAGGAAAGCAAATGTTATCCCCGCCTTCAAAAAGGGGCAAGAAGGATGACCCAGGCAACCACAGGTCCATCAGCTTGTGGAGTGTTGACCCTGGCAGGATGTCTGGTGCCCACAAAGTCATTCTGTCATTCCCCTCCATGGCTGGACTCAGGAGAGAAGAACAAAAGTCTCATGAGTTGAAATAAGGACAGGGAGAGATCACAAACCAATTACCATCATGGGTAACAGTCAAAACAGATTCAGCTTGTAGAAACTAATTGAATTTATTACCAGTCAAAATCAGAAGAGGATAATGAGAAGTAAAACACCATCCTCCCCCCACTCCCTCCTTCCTGAGCTCTACCTCTTCCCCCACAAGTGGTGCAGGGGAGACAGGGAGTGCAGCTGCTCAAGAAGAGGAGTCCTTCCTCTGCTCCAGCATATTCTTCATTCTGCAGTCTTGTTGGATGAAGTTCAAGGGGCTCTGGGGCATATCAGTAAATCTTTTATAAGAGAGAAGGTTGAACATATATCTAAGGGAAAGAATATGTTTCGCAAATGTGTTTTATGAGTAAATTTGGAACACATGAGTAGACAATATAGTTAAATGAAATTTGTAAAAAGTAAGATGATTTCTGCATTCAGGTTTTATTACTTTGCATTCATTTTCATTTTAATTACATAGAATTTAAATAGGAACTTTTCTAGCCACTAGGTTATTCCAAGAAATTGTTATGCATTAAGGACACCACATTAGGGACAAGGATGAATATATTTGTAGCCTTCTTACCCAGGGCATCCTCAAGAAAACAAAAGCAAATGTAACATGAATGCTGAAAGTAGTAAGAATTCTTCAGCCTTACAGTGCTGTATCTCTTTAATATCTCCTTTATTCCTATGCCATCAAGTACTTTTTGGTCTATAGAATTGCTGTTTGCACTGTTTATCAATGTGTTCATCAATTGTCTTGCCCTATTTCATGAGTAATTAAATGTTCTTATTTTGGCCAAAAAAATCCAATAAAGTAAAAGCCTTAATTGGCTTCCTCTCAGCTACTCATGGCATGATCAGATAGCCGTGTCTCCAGCTGTTAATTGCACTAAACATTGATGTATAGGTTCAGCCACCACAATTATGGAAAATGATGCATATTCTTTGAAGAATACAGATGAAATCAAAGACTGTAGGATTGAAATTTTTCTAGACATATATTAACACATTAAAACAGGATTGAGGTGTGAGAGTGATTTAGGTTTTATATTTGGAGTGATTTGGTGCAGAAGAATTGTCCACTAAATACTTACAAGAGAAGCAACACTTCTTTCTTCAATGTTGAGCATAGTATACTTATTCCTTCCTTCCTGGAAGGTACAGTGTGGTCCATGACTGGGATTTTTCCTAATTCATTGCACTTTCAATGCTGTGGTAGCAGTAATACAGTTAAGGTAAAATGAAGCTATATTCTAGTAAATGCTTATATGGGACTTTTAAATCACAATTTTCATGATAAAATAAAATTTTTCAGTGCTATTGCACCAGGAAAAAAAAACCAAAAACCACAAACCAAAACCAAAAACAAAAACAAAACAATAAAACAAAACTCTTTTAATGCACCCAGAAGTCTAGGAGAATAAAATACCACTACTCCTTGTTACACAGGTTGGTTTATCCCTTTTGGTTTTGGCTTGAATTTTCTATCACCCTCTGGGTTTTGCTTCTTCATTTGTTTCTTTTTTCTTCCTCCTCTTTTAAATATGATTTTTCGTAACCTTATGAACTTTTGCTTTCACAAGCATTTTCTCTGTTAGTCCCTTTATCAGTTCTTCTGATTCCTTTTGGGCAGATCATCTTATCTATCTTCTGTTTTTTTCTCCAGCACTTCCTCATAAAAGATCCATTGACAGCTCAGACTCAAAATACATGTATTTTTTCTCCTAAACATATCCATCCTACTTGCCATCCAAGCTCATATAGCAGTGCTTAGCCAATCTTCCTCCACAATTTTTTTAAAAGCCTGTCGCTTTCTCTCTTTACAGACAAATGTCACTTTTCATAGGTTTTTTCACTTTTTACCACTTCTTGCACATCCTCCTTAGCATCCATATTGATAGTCCATCCAAAACACAGCTGGTAACATGGCTGCTCTCATTGGTCAAACATCTTTGCTTGCCTACATCTTTTAAGCTCATTTTTAGTTGCAAGGTTTTCCACAACATTCCATCCCAGTCTATAAATCAGGTCAAGTGTTTCCTGATCCCAGACATTTTGCTGTATCAGTATATTAAGGCTACATTTTCTTAATAATTCCATTACAACCTCTGTGCCTGTCATGACTTCACTATGCTGTAAATTATTGGTCCTTTTGGTTTTTTGCCTACATATACTCTTTTTTCCACAGTATATGAAAAAGTCATAGCCATTCAGATAAAGAAAAAATTAAAGTAAATCTCTGTTTTAGGGCATGTCCCAGTTAATTGTACTCTTTCAAATCCTTCTCCTATCTTTGAGGCAAGGTTTAATTTTTTTTATCTTATATAGCACACTAGTCTATTTTTAGCCTTAAGAGAATTTATCAATCATCTTTAAGGACTGTTGCATGACTGCAAATGGATTTAAGTTAAAAAAAAAACCTGGCTGAAGTTTTGTTTTCATAAGCCTTGATGTATAAAAGATATTCATAGATAGCAAACACTGGATTATTTCTTATTTGGTCTCTATATCCTTTAGAAATACTCTTTTTGATGGGGTATCTTTGTTCAAGTCACATTTGCAATTACCTAAGTAATTAATCTATTACTACATCCCTTTGGATGTTTCTCGATTACACAAATAGATCATATTTTTAAAACTATGGTAGGGATGTAAAATTCTCTTTAGAAGTGCTAAGAATTGTCACTGCAGTATAATTGACATGTACATCTCCCTGAATATTCTATTTTCATGCTCTTAACGGTGCCTTTAGCCATTCTCCTCTTTAGGTAAATCAGTTAGCTTAACCATTTGGAATATTTCAAGAGCCTTTTGTGGTATTTTGAAAACTTTTTTTTTAATTCAAGTTCTCCTGAGAAGGAACATTTTCTGCATTGCAGGGATCCAATGAGGGGGGATAAAATGCAGGACATCCAGATTAGCTTTGAAGCATACTGAAAAAACTCCTCTTTGGCTTGCTGCAGATTCAGAAGAAAATAAAAGTTCTGATGAAGTGCAGAGCATGCTTTTCCAGACCGACATTAACTTAATGCTATTTTAGAAAACTTCATTGTTACCAGTTTGCCAGTGGGTACATTGGCATATCTACAACCTGTTAAAACATGAACTTTAGCTGAGAGAACACTGGGGGAGCATAGTGGAAACCTGTTTCCTATGCATGTTTATCCTTGCTCCAAGAAAGATCTCAAGTGCTACATTTCCAAAAGTATTATGTGATTAGCTGTGTCAGAAAGGAATAAAGTATCTGAGTGACTCCTATTTCAGTGCAGTATAAGAAAGCATTCTCTAAGGAGTCCTCGGCCCTCCAGCTTCCCAGAGGACACCATGAGACTGCTTTGCCACACCTGGAACTTCATAATTTACACATTAGTAGCTCATAGGCTGCATCCAGACTTTTGCTAGAGTTGAGGGCTGAAATGAGGGCATCTTCCCTCAAACAGAGTGGGTATTATATCACTTGGGATGAAGATTTCCATTTTCAACTTGTTGTAATCCATATTCTACAGCACTGTGAGTCACTTCAGGGACAAATAACTGCAATCAAGAATTAAGTGTTATTGTTATTAACTGTTATTTTTGTGTGCAAGGTTTGGCTATCCCAGTTTTTTTTTAATGGTAGGAGTATGTAGGGATATTTGAATGCTGTTTAGTATAATGAAAAATTATCGAGAAATACATCAAGTCATGCATTAGCAGAATAAGATGGGGTTTTTTTAGTGAGTAGGAGCCAGTAAATAGTAAATACAAAACTCAAGGATATATAAGTTGTTAAATAGTTTGTTTGGCTTAGTTTTGACAGTTAGTGTAATTTATTGTTATTTTATTAATAATTTGAAAAGAACTTAGAAAAATAATGTTTTGCTGTTGTCTTGAGATGCTTACACTCCAGGCAGATGGCATGGAGATTGAGTAAAAATATTCATTGAAGTTAGAGAAAAGTTTCCCATTAATTGCACCATGCTTTGTATTTGGCCCAAAGAAGCCCAGAAAGTGCTTCATTAAATAAAAGATCAAAAGTCCATTTGGCCTTGAAAATGTGCAGATGAGCAGTTAAGGCATCCTGGGAGGTCCATGTCCATGAATGTATTCAGGACTGAGGTTTTAGAGTAGAGCTGGCAATATCTATCTTGCTTTTCATATTGGAAACATTTTCTTGCATCTGTTTGCAGCTAATGGAACAAGATAACTTTTCTTGTGTACTGCTTAGGTATCCTTATCTCTGTGTTTGACGTGGGAAAGATTAATGGATAAAACGAGTTTGAGAATGTTTATTCCAATTACTTTTACAATAAGAAACAAAGAATGCTGAGCATTGCACATGCTGTCCTCTCAGCTTGAGAGTCTTATGGTTTCTGTTGTATTTCTTTCTTCTAGGCCTTTCTCTGAGTTCTGCCTGCCGCACAGCCATACGTATTAGATGACTTTGGGACTCGTTTTGCATCAGCGATGAAGGGATTATCTGGCAGCCGCAGTCACCATCACGGGGTTGCCTGTGACCCTGCATGTGACAGCCTGCCACACCACCAGGACAGGAAGCCATATTTGTTAAACCCGGTGGAGCCCCACCCCACAGACCACCCTTACTACACTCAAAGGAACTCTTTCCAGGCCGAGTGCATGGTGCCCTACAACGATCAGATTGCCAGCAGCACGTTTCCCCGGAGGCATTACAGCTCCCACCATGAACTCAAGGACGAGTGTGCTCTGGTTCCCCATGGAACTGCCAACAAGACCAACCGCATCCCTGCCAACCTTTTGGACCAGTTTGAGCGGCAGCTGCCCCTGAATCGGGATGGCTACCACACACTGCAGTACAAGCGAACTGCCATGGAGCACCGCAGCGACAGCCCGGGCAGGATCCGGCACCTGGTTCATTCTGTCCAAAAGCTCTTCACCAAGTCCCATTCGCTGGAAGGACCATCCAAGGGCAGCGTCAACGGGGGGAAAGCAAGCCCGGAGGAGTCACAGACGATGAGGTATGGGAAGCGCAGCAAGAGTAAAGAAAGGCGATCAGAAGGTAAGCCCAGATCCAATGCATCGGGATGGTGGAGTTCAGATGACAACTTGGACAATGATGTTTGCATTTATCATGGTCCCAGTGGGGTCATGACCATGGGAAGATGCCCTGATCGCTCTTCTTCCCAATACTTTATGGAAGCCTATAACACTATTAGTGAACATACTGTGAAGTCCTCCAGAAGCAATAATGATGTCAAATGCTCTACCTGTGCAAACCTGCCTGTGAATTTGGACTCCCAGTTAATGAAGAAAAGCTCTTGGTCCTCTACATTAACCGTGAGCAGAGCCCGTGAAGTTTACCAGAAAGCATCAGTTAACATGGACCAGACAGTGGTGAAGGCAGAGACGTGTCAGCAGGAACGGTCATGTCAGTACCTCCAGGTACAGTGTGGAGAACTGGTTGCTGTTAACTGTGCTCTGCCTTGTCTCAGGTGTTTGTGGGGGATGGAGGTTTGCTCTGATGTCTCAACTTTCCCCAGAGGTCACTGATCACCAAACAAGGGGGCTGCTGCTAAAATTAAAAAATTATCAGCTTTTTGCTTTTTTTTTTTTTTTTTTGGGTCCAGAATTAAGTATTTCAAAGTAACACTTCATGTTAGAACAGGATTTTATTTTTTTTTTTTCATGTGGAAAAAATAAGACCTTTCTGTGTACCCTTTGAATTTATAAAGCTGTCACAGTAGGGGTATGGGGAATTTGATGTTTTAGTGCTTTCATTTAGCATTACAATGTCAATTAACTGAATGTTACTAGGATACAAATTCTTTGATTTCTGTAATTTCAATTTCGCTTTCATTTAGTGCTCATTTTTTATGAAGGCTTTTGAGACCCTTTCGAGAAACTATGGGGTACCTTAATACTTTCTCCAGCAGGAAAACAACCTACTTTTCTTTTTGCCTTAGAATATAAATTCTCTTAAAACAGTTACTGTAACGTGTCCAGATTTGTTTATCAGGCTATTCCTCTTTTTTATGGCTCTGAGTCAAAAATAAAAAATCAAAAGGTTGAAATTATTGCTTGTTCTGATTATACATTTTAGGAGTACATCACCTACTCCCTCACAAGCTGTTTGCAGTTAATACAGCGTCACTATTTTTCACCAGTATTGTATCTTTAAATGTCAAGAATCAGATGTCTCCTCTTGGAGCTATCATACTGCCGGTGAATGTTTGTGGCAGGAACATGGATCAGAAAATATTAAAACTGTTTCATTCTTAGGAGAGCTGTGGATAGCTTTTATGCACTTTAAAAGAAGCACTTATGGCACATCTAAGTGTGTGTGTAAGATGGAACAACGTTGCACAGAGAAGAGAGAAGACCATGAGGAAAAAAGAGGTTTGATAAGATGATTCGGTTTTTAATTTTAATATAGTGGGACTCTTTTCTATTTGTATAGAACTGTAGCAAGTTCTGTCATATGGGTGCTTTAATGAGACAGTCAGCTTCCACATTCTGTTGTTTAAGTCAGTATGCAGAGAAAGCGTAGGACTGAAGCATCAGCATTTAAAAATTGATCTTAAAAGGTTTTATGGAGTGTCATGCAAAATAATTTTGAATGCCAGCCTCTAGGATTCTAAGTCTTAAATGTAAAGGAATGGATATGTATATTTTCTATCAATTGTTTAAGAGAGTGGGGTGGGGGAGGAAGGGGCAATACAAATGCTCAGGGTGTTTACAGCTCTGTGTATGGGCTGGGGAGGGAGAGGGGTTCCAAAATAGCCTCAGGTTGCAACCTTTTGAGGTTTTGTGGTTTTTTTATTAAGTATCTTCTGTGTGAATTTTGTGAGTAAGAAGAAACCATAACTTTAGGCTTGATTGTTGCGGTTACTTTGAACCCTGAGATTTCTTTTGTTAGTATTTTTGTTTACTCCTTCAGCCTTCTCTCGGGTTTAGATAAAATAGCTGACAATTCAGTATGTGACCAGATGGCTAGAAAAGAGTGAAAAACTGTGCCAGCATCAGCTTTAAGCGAACACCTCCATAGGGACCTTTAGATAATGTTTAACTGACAGGAATAGACTCCTCAAGTGGAATTAGAGGACATTATCTGTGTCTGTATAAAAATATGTCCAACAATTGTCAAGGGCAAGAATAACTAAATTCTCAATTAGAATAACTACATTCTCACTGTGTTTCCCATTCTCACTGGTAGTTCTATTTCAGTTTTCGCTTAATTTTGTTTCATTCTTTCTAATTGCATGCCACTGTAAAATCAAGGGAAATATTTGAAACTTTTTTTTTTTTTTTTTTTTAAAGGCATCAGTTAACATTGGAAGTAATATTCAAACAGTACAGTAGATTTGAGGAAGCAAGTCAGGATTATTCTTCTCTCTTGGCAGCTTGAAAGGATGACAAATGCACATGGGTATTTAAAAAGTCAGTCTATTTTGAATGCATCCCATTGCTTTTCTCTCCACTATATCACTTTATCATTTTACACTGCAAGCCCTTTGGGGCTTGGACTTTGTTCCCTTTTGTGTTTCCACAATGCCCAGCACAATGGGGCACAGAACCTAACTGAGGCCTTTTGTCTGTCCTGCAATATAAGTATATATTAACAGCAGCAGAGTTCTACTCTGTTAGTGGGTTGTAGAGTTACTCTGTGTATCTGTTATTTTCCAGGTGCCCTTCTCATTATTGTACCAGAAGGCTGGTGTCCTATGTTAGAACAATTGGAAAGGCACAAAATGAGATGAAAGCTGCAAATTCACAACACTGGACAACCCTGATCATTTAATTTCATTGTTATGATGCTGCTTTGTTGCTTTCTTTAACTCATTTAATGTTAAATAGATGCTTTTATCAACTTGCTTGTTATTTAAGTTGTTGTCTATGGTCCAGGACATAAACTCTGATCATTCAAAGAGCTTGTTCATGTAATCTCTTCTTGTCACAGTATCTGAATTCAATGAAGGAGTGACTTTTTTTAAACTCAGGGTACTCAGGATAATTTTCTTTATCCTGATAGATCAGAGTATATCAGAGATCACAGGTGACATTGACTTCACATTTGTTTGTAAGGGCTTTTATCACAAAAGTATCTGCATGAGTTCTCAGTGTAAAGACATGGAAATAACAAACAATTATTTCACTTGCTGTGTTATTTTCCACTTAACTGTTCTGTGGAAGGAGTTGGCAGAGGTTTGTATTACAGATGGGCTTATTTCTCATGATTTGGAATTTGGATCAAGTGCAGAGTCCTCCTGCATTGCAATCTTTCTTTACTGCACAAGGCTTCACTTCCAGCCCTGGTGCTGAAGCATAGTGTCCATCCTTGGAATTCTAGGTGAGGCTTGGGTCAACATTGTGCATCTTCTGAAACAGATATTATCCTAGAATAGTCTAAAGACTGTCAAGCAAGTCTTTTTCTCTTACCTGCATTTTGGGAGTGGAATTGCATTTTTATCTTCCATTTCTCCTTTCAAGAGTGAACAGCTGGATAGTAGAAAGATAAAGTTCTTCTTTTGAGCTGATTTTCATTTTAGGAAAGTGCTACTATTTGATACAGCTTTACAATTTGACTACAGTGAAGGAAGGCAAGAAGGAATTGTTCATGTTTTATCAAAATGTTTCTTTAAAATGGTTTCCTTCCCTTGAAAGAAAAAAATTTAAAGCAGTGGACAGCCTCTACTTCTCTGCTAGCTTCTCCTCTGGAAAAAAAATGAAATTACAAATGAGAGGCAAAATGTAAGCAGCAGTCCTTTGCTGTGAACAATAGGGTCTAAATTCACGGGGAGATATTTTTGACACTCTTGTTTTCTATGAATTCGTGAATTTTGGAGCTAATAGTGTATCAAATTCACAGCAGAGTTTGTCTCTGATGACAGTTTTGCCATTTATTGTTCCCTGTAATTACCGTTCCTGCTGTCCTTGGTCCATTTGTTAAGAGACTCAGAAAAATACAAAGAATGATGTTTTTCAAATGAATTTAATCTTTTCTTATATGGGTCAGTCATAAGTTTTCTTTTCAGTGCAACTGATGAGACTTATATCAGTTGTGTCAGACACTTGAGGCTAAGGATGGAAATTTTATGTCTGAAAAATGAAGTGCAGAAGGTGGGGCCAACAGTGCAGTCGTTCAACCTCCACATTTGCTTTGCTTCTCCTTTGGTGGGATACTGTGAGAAATGCTATTAAAAATATAAACCAAGTTTCTGGGTGTAATAAGAATTTTCTGGTGACAGAGGTTCTGGTTAGTACTGCACTCTTTCTTGGGTGGAGGTTGCCTGTAATGTGCATTGATATACAAGATATAGAGCTAAGAAACTCATTATCCAAATGACTTGTTTTCCATTCTCAGGACAAGGCACAGTTTCTTAGGAAAGACAGCTGAATTCCAGTCCCAGCCAGCCTCTTTTTGTTGCCTGTGTCCATGGATGACCAAATAGACCTAAGAGTCAGGGTGCTAATAAGGACCAGTAAGTGTAATGTGATTTATTAGCATGGTACCTTACATTACAAAGTTTTTATATTTATGACACAGCAATTTAAGTTAGATCTGGTATGCTAAGTTTATCTATGCAAGTTTTCCTGCAATTTCAGTTTGTGTTTTCCTCATTTATGGTGTTTGCATTTCAGATGCAACTACCATATTCAAATTAATCTTCCAGGATATCCTTATATATATATATATATATATATATATATATATATATATATATACAAAAGTTGTATTAACATCCATTAATGTATTAACATCCATTTTCCATTTTTCATGTATCTGATGACATTTTTAGCTCATATTCCATTATAAATTGAAAATTAACGAAGCACATATTATTTCTCTTTCATTTTTCCAGTCAGAACTACAAAGTATAGGAGGTATAAGTTTCAAGGTTTTTTGAGCCCATGTGAAAGATAATTCTTAGTAAAGCTAGTGAAACTATTTGGACAAATGTGATATTAAGTGTCTAATGTGTTAATGTATTCTAGGTCAACTTCTGGAAAAACATTTAGAAATTCTTAAATGCTCTTGAATTTTAAAAGGAACTAGTATATAAGCATATTAATAATGAAAAATATGTTCTCAGAAAGCTAATTCATTTTGGTTTTAAAATTGTGAGGTGGGTAATATGACTAATGCCTATAGCTAGGGAATTTGTGGAAAATATAGATTATGTACAAAACAGCTTATTTACAAAATGTATATTACTAACAGATTATTAAACTGGCATCTTGGTTATTTTAGTCTACCTGCAAACCCACCCAAGGTGTGATTGCTATACTGAGAGAAATATGTTGGAGAGTATTTCAATAAACTCATCTTCCTCATCATCGCAGTCCTTTAATTTAGCTAAAAAACAAAACAAACAAAAAAACCTCCAAAATTGTCAGCTGTGTTGGTGATAATGATCTTGCCACTCCTTTCACCTTAACAACTG